CTCCCCCCCCCCCCCCCGCAAAGACACGTTTTATACCCGGGGATATGAAACATCATGCATGTTTTTGTTTCATTCAACAAAATTATATCCGCTTGGGTTAATGTTAAAATGTTTTTACACTAGTGTTTTCTAATTTGTTTTTACGGAATTTATATTCCAATGCGCTACGCTAAGTACATAAAAATCACTTTGCCCTTTTATTAAAAAATTCCCTAGTCCCAACGGTCAATGACTACTCCATTTCTTAGTAATACGCGTTTTTTTTCTGTCAAGCACGATCTGGTGGCCTGCGTTTTCTGGCTTTTCCTGTCTATCGTTTCAGAAGAAAATAATCTGCTCCACTCTTTTCGGAATTCCGGATGTTGATCTTTTTTTAAGGCGAATCTCCCCGCACGATGGGTCCTGTTTCAGTTTAGCAGCGTTTGTCAACAGACCAAAATGACCGTCTATTTATCTAGAGACATATCTGTGAATATCTGTGGAAAATGGTAGAGGGTAGGAGTGACTGAACAGTGAACAAATTCTAATTTTCTCATCAGGCCAGTCTTTCTCATATGGTCACATTATTATTTTTCTCACAGTTCAGTCACTCCCACATGGTCATATTAAAATCGGTTCCGTGCAGAACTTGGGCGTCTCCCGTTATACTTGGACATTGTCAATTTAGTAGCAAGATACAGTGAAAGGCTGAATTACCTCCCAGGGCAAAGAATTGTCAAGCAAGCGTACAATAGAGAACAAGCAAAAAGGGGAAAAAACTGCTTTTGGGCAATGTCAAACTTAGCTTCATGTTGGGGAATAAATCATCCAAATTCCACCACAACTCTCAACAAAATTCACAGTTACTAAAATCTAGAAAGTGAAATAGTTCAAAATAAAATTAGATTTTTTGGAAGAGCTACACAGAGAGGAAAATACAGTAATAAGCTGAGGACATACAGGAAAATTAAACAACAATATGAACCCGAACCATACTTAAAATAAAAAAAAAATTCACGCAAAAAAACTTTTGTCAAAAATGCGAATACCCCGGTATAGGTGACCATTACCTAGTGATTGAAAAAAGGGCCACACACAAACAAAAAAATACAACTTTCGGACCGAAAATGCCCCCATTGTAACGAGGTGGAAGATGAAATTAATTTTTTCCTAGAATGCGCCCATCACAAAATTGAAAGAAAATTGCTATTCGAATGCATACCAGAGGTAAACTTGCAGGGTCTAACAGACAAGGTCAAACAGCTTGACATTAATCTAAACCCACCCTCTGAACAGAGTGTAATTGGAGTAGGGAATTTTGTAAGTAAAATTATGAAAAAAAAAAAACGTAATTAACTAGAAATGCACAATTGATTTCATCCATCCTACTTGTATATTATTAGTATGTACACACACTGGACAATAGAAGTGTCACCCCCTAAATCAGAGTAATAAAAGTAGGCAGATCTTGGGTAGTTATAATGTCTGGTCTACTTATAATGTGACTAATGAGTATAAAACCGCTATACCATGGAATTGTATTGTTGGTCTTGTACATGTACAGCAAATGTTATTCCTGTCTTCCTCCAACATGGCAAGATACAGGCAATTATCTAACGGTTATAGGTGCAAGTTATTAACCTGAAGAGGCGGAATATAAGCAATATCAAAATATCGATACAATAAAGGGAACCGGAGAAGACTGATTGTGCCCGGAAGTGACGTGTAGTGGTGTTAGAAGCGAAGCTGAGTGGTCATTTTAACCTGGAGGTGAACGGCAGAGAAGACGTGTAGTCGGCAGGGCCGTAGCCTCCGGGGGGGCAGGGGGGGCAGCTGCCCACCCTGGGATTTAGAATTTTCCACACTGGTAAGGGGACACCCCCTCCCCCTCGGGGGCTAAGCCCCCTCGTGTCCGCTTACTGCCCCCCCTGGCATTTTGCTCAGGCTACGGCCCTGCTCGGAGGAAAAAGAAGTTTTCTAAACAACATCAGATAAGAGCTTAGATAAGAGGCTGTCAGAATGTCACCTTTGTCTTGGCATTTGTCACTGATTTGTGCCTACCCCAGTGTAAAAGGTGTATTAGTGTGCTCATATGTGTGGAATTTCATGTCAGATGGACATATAAAGATCTAAAAATTCGTTGAAATATTGAAAAAAAGATACAGCTTTGCACAGCAGTCGGAGATCGGTACGGTTCAGTTGTTAGTTACGAACTACTTCCTGGTTTTCACAAGGTCCTTCAAGACCTCTATAACATCGTTATAATTGCAGCCCATACCATAAAACACCGAAAAATACTTAGATATGGACATATCAGATTATATTAATGCCACATTTCCACATGACAACGATTTATAGACTCCCGGGAATTATTTTCCCTTTACGCTCTTTGTCGCGCTGGCGGTCGATGCAGCATTTATTTAAAAACAAGTTAACCGCAAATTAAGCACGATTTTGCACCTTCAAGTTCCGTGTCACGTTTTCATATCATGCATCTGTTATTTCTACAAGTATTCTCTGCCCAAAATGCGTAAAAAAGAGAGTTATCTTACCATGTTGTTTAGAAAACTTCTTTTTCCTCCGACTACACGTCTTCTCTGCCGTTCACCTCCAGGTTAAAATGACCACTCAGCTTCGCTTCTAACACCATTTGACGTCACACTTCCGGCACAATTCTGACCAATGCTGATCTTCTCCGGTACCCTTTATTGAATTCTTCAGTCAGAACCATGCAGAGGGTCTGGTCTCGGTATAGAAACACTGGATCAAGAGACAAATTGCCTCTGATGGGTCGTCCAAGAAATGCTACTGGCCGTGAAAACCGACGACTGATTTTGATGTCCAGGTTGTCAAAGTTCTACAGTGCTTGTCAGTTGACAACACAGTGGAACAATTTCACACATAAGAATCTGTCTGTGAAAATTGCTAGGTGTCGGTTACATGCTCAGAGAGTGTACAGCAGGGTAGCAAGACTGAAACCTCTTATATCGTTACAAAACAGGCAACGTAGAGTGAACTAGGGTGAACAGGATCTGGAACTGGACAGTCCATGACAATTGGTCCTATATATTTTTTCTGATGAGTGTCGCTTTTGTCTGACCTCTGATGACAGACGGGTACGATGATGGCGAACTGCTGGTAAAGCATTTAAACCACATGCACTGAATTTTCGAACCCGGAGCAGCATATTTATTATGGTGTGGGACTGCATCAACATCCATGGCGTGGACAAATTGATAGTGGTTGATGGAAACATAAATCACTAGAAATATATCAATGTTTTGGAGTCAGACTTGCTACCATCTATTACTTACATGTTTGGTAACAGGAATTATCCATTTGTTCAACAGGATGACAATGCTCCTTGTCACAGGCCCAGAGCAGTTAATGATTGGTTTGACCAACAAGACATTCACAGGGTGATGTGGCCGGATGCAAACATAATAGAAAATGTGTCAATTGGTATGTGAAAACTTTTTACAAATGCCCGTCTAACCAGCAGAGAAACTCTGTTATATTCAGTGTTTCATGCTTGGGCCAGCATAAGCCCTGAACGCATCAGACAATTATATGAATCCTTGCCTCGTAGACTGGCACCTATTATTAGGTCACGTGGCTATGTCACTAAGTACTAATTTTGGACTTGAAACTGCATATTTTAGTAGAATGTATATTTTGTTCTCATGTTGTGATTTTTTGTGAAATTTGATGTTAATAAAATGATACCAGGAGCATATATCATTCCACAGACATTTAACTCCCCCATAGTATTGGTTCAGTAGGGGTGACACTTCTATTGTCCAGTGTGTGTATATTTTATAACATTATATAGGTATGACTTTTTTTATTTACTTACTATTATTATTGTCTTTCCATATATATAATATATAGCAGTGAGATAGCCTTTAAATGTAAAAAAATTATTCCTGTGCTTAATAAATTATAATAATAATTATTATTATTAATATTCTTCTCATCAGTTCAGTCACTTCCATATGGTCATATGTTAATTTTCTCACAGTCAGTCTTTCCCATATGATCACATTATAATTGACATCAGGTCAGTCACTCTCATAAGTTCATATTATAATATTTCCATGGGTCAAAAACTCTCATATAGTCACATAAATTTCGCATCAGGTCAGTCACTCTTATATATTTTAATTTTCTCACCAGGTCAGTCAATCCCATATGGTCATATTTTAATTTTCTCATCAGGTCAGTCACTCTCATATGGTCATATTATAATTTTCATGGGTCAGTCACTCTCGTATGGTCATATAATTTTCTCGCAGGTCAGTCACTCCCGTAAGGTCATATTATAATCTTCTCATCAGGTCCGTCACTCCCATATCGTTTCATTTTAAATTCCCCATCACTGCCGTCTACCTTGACGATCAAATCGCCTTGATATATTTTAATCAAATTATTTTGGCAACTTTGGTCAGACCACAGGAGCTTTTTTAGATATTCCTTTCACTATTTGCAAGAAATTCGGAATGCTTAATTAGTTGTCATTCTGTAACAAAACGTCATGGCCTAGTCCAATTGGTAACTGAATTAGATTTGGCTCTGGTCTGCGCAACATTTAACCTCATTTTCCTTTTACTATTTTCAGATGGAGCCATATATTGTAAAAGTTATTTATCCTCAGGTTTTACGATTGGTAGCACAGAGAAAAGCTTATTGGCTGTGGGTCTTCACTATGGTACAACGAATTTGGTTTATGCATACTCGTTTAAGTGTGAATATGCGATTGAACCTACCTGTAAATGTATCTGTTCACTACTTCAGGTTCGACCATGTGTAGCACAAAGAAAAGCTTGTTGGTTGTAGGCCTAGACTTTGGCACAACGTATTCGGGCTATGCATATTCGTTTAACTATGAATATGCCATTAAACCCCTAAAGATTCGCGTGAACAAATTCAAGGGGATAGGCAGTGGGACTGATTTCTACAAAATACCCACAGTCATCTTGTTCCCCCGTTCAAGCACAGATGATAATGACGTATACTTCGGGAGTGAGGCTGAGGAGAAGTACGCAGATCTTGTGATGGATCAAAAGTCGCACAATTGGCTTTTGTTTCGACATTTCAAGATGGCGCTTTATGACAAAAAAGTAAGTTGATATGAAAATAAGTTGATATTAAAAACAGGTATGGGCTAGCTGTTTCTCGAACGATGTAAATAAAACAATACAGTGTAACACTATAACTTTCAGACCAAAACTTTTGTCTACTTCGACACACACACACACACACACACATACACACACACAAAACTGATCGCATACATCAGGCACAGCATATGCAGGTATGTGTATGCAAGTATACAACGCATATTTTCAAATTATCGCAGTACTTGCGATGTTCACAATCGATCTCTAATATATATACACGGAATATATTTTAAAAATATTTTTAGGTTAATTTTCCTCAGTTTTGCGTCTTTAGACAAAATTTCAAAGTATAGTCGTTTGTGAAACCGCATAGGGCTTTGCATGTTCCCAGTTATATAGGACAGAATTAAGCTTGCTTAGAACTTTCAGGTAAAAGGTAAATTCAATATTAATGTTAGAGTTTCAGCTTAGATAACACAAAAACGATTATTACAAAACCTCGCCTGTCAAGTGTAATTTATAAGAATAATTAATGTATCTGCACGTCCACGATACTGGGCAACAGCAATGGGTTATCATCTTTGAAAGTCTGTCAAATATTTCTATGGGTTGGATTACAACAGGGGTGATTTCATGTGAAAGGGGATACATTTGTCTTATTGTAACAAACAGTTTTTGTGTTTCCAACATTGGGTATTTCAAACTTTTAAAATCTTAGCCGAAAATGACACTAAAACGGCGCTTAAATCAGGGACACAGGCATTGCAGCTGTACCTCATAGAAAAGAAAGCTCTCAGAATAGAATTGTCATGTTTTTTTTGGACATCTCAGGGATCATTTACGGCACACACACTAGAGAAAAACAAACATTGCTCTTCGTTGCAAATTTTGATGCGTGACGAAATCGGGTTATTGTACATTACCATTGTTTCCGTTTTCAACTTCAGTTCAAAGTATTAGCTCCCATGCACACAAACCATACAAATCGTTCAATTTTTGGATTTAAATACCTAAAATACACTCTGCTTTTCATAAAACAACAATGCATAAGTAACTCCTGACATCTGAGCGTGTAATCACAGATGTTATGACCCAATCCTGTTTCGGTTAGCGTGTAGTTTCGTTTCCCCATTCAAATTCGGCCCAGGGACTTGGCATAAAAAGTGGAGATTTCCACTGATGACGTAATGACCCGTTCACACGAATATTAGATGAGACTAATTAAATTAGCTATATCCAGTACCCAAATTTTATGTACAGACACAGACGTCTGTCGCTGCCATCGCCAAGATTAGTGGAAAACCTTTTGACCTTCTGGCTTGAAACTTACAGAACTGTTACTGGCAGAGGAGTGTTTTATAGATAAATCCTATTTGTTTACTTTGGACGCGCTACTCACTTGTTTGTCGCATCGGTGTTGAGTAACAATTGTTTTTAGCGCGCTTATGATAATGATGGGATAGAATGTGATTCCACGTGGAATGAGATCGGCTGATATTAGATGCTGAGACAGCCGTAATTACAAGTGTTCTTGTAACAGGAATCTGGCCCATAAGGTTAGCAATTAATTTTAAGTTATGAAAGTTCATTTAAAGATAATTGCGAGAAGATAAAATTAGTTTTCCATTGTAAACTGCAACTTTGAGTAGCGTTAGAAATGCCGGTCTCATGTACAATGCACAGTACATGTAACACAATCACTGTGCCTTTCAGTATTGGAGTAAAGAAAGTTCAGTAAAGTGTAGTGTATTGTTTAGAAACGAGAATGTAGCTGTACTAGTTGCGAGTTAAAGATTGTTTGTTTTATGTTCGTAATCAATGTTATTTTTAAAAGCGTATTTTTTCATTGTGTTAGTTGCGCCATATGAGATTTACTAC